GGGGGTCGGGGATCCCCGCGGTGGGGTTGGGGGGGTGAAACCCCCACCCCGGCTTGGGCCCCGGGGATCCCCGCGTGACAACATTGTAGGTTACCGGCTCAGGTCACTGACTTGTCGTGGGGACCATCGGTCAAATTCCCTAATTCTGAGAGCGGTCCTCGCAGCTGGCAGTACCTACAATCAGAATTTTTGGTAAATAAGCAACTTTGATGTTCAGGTACGCTGGACCCGTTTTCTAGCAGGTGTTGCTCCCCACCAATAGATGGAGCCTCCCCCACAGTGCTAGTGGTGTCTGCTCTTATCAGCACCCCTAGCACTACCTCGGGTTGTTCATCAAAAAAAAAAAAAAAAAAAAAAAAAAAAAAAAAAAAAAAAAAAAAAAAAAAAAAAAAAAAAAAAAAAAGAAGAAGAAGAAGGAAAAAAAAGAAAAAAGGAAAACAAAAAAGAAGAAAAGCCAAAAGACTCTCTCTTTGCATTCAATGATGCTTAACCACGACGTTGTCCCTTCAGTTCTCTAAGGTGCCTCCTGTTGTCGTTTGTGTTCTTTTGGGTGGAGAGGGGGGAAGGGGGGGTGTGGGGCAGGGGCGAAGGGGGGTTGTGGGGCAGTTGGTGGAGAGTAGCTGGAGAGGATCATGGGAAATTTGGGAGTAGGGGGAGGCGTGTGCGTGAGGGAGGGCCACTCACTCTGATGTGCGGGCGGGGATGCTTTGCAATGAGCAGTGCACGATGATCTTGCGTGATAAGACACTCATTTCGAATGAGCTGATGACACTGAAGGATGAATTTCAGAAGAGAACGGAGATTATGCACGCGGAGCATCAAGCCGAGGTATGGTTGATTAGCATTCTGACCGACCGTCCTTGGGAAAGGAATGACTGCTTCGGCCCGCTTGCCTTGTTGTCTTGTGTACATCCATGGAGCACACACAGTAGAATCGGAATTGTTGACCGTCTGTTTGCTGCAAAGAGTGTCTTCGTAATTTACCGATCAGTGCAGAATGTTTGTTGTTCTCGAATCGAATGAAAGAACAACAAAATATGGTGGTGTGTTGCATTGAACGAGGACAACCGCTTGACGGAGAACCAATTATGATAGAGTTGTTGTCAGACAGATTCAGCCAGTGAAATCAATTGAAACTCGAAAGGTAGAAGCCATTTGAGAACAATAAAGAGAGAGGTGAACGACAAGGTAGAAG